GAGGTGCTATGTTATGTGTTAACTTGATTAACCATGTGGCAATCAAACCACACAGCAGTTGGTTAGAAGGTTTTTTGGACCGCTGGCCTCACTGGGGCACTGCTGTTCGTGGCTCCAACAGAAGCAGCGCAGCAAATAGGGTGGCTCAAGCATGCCTTTTGCAGCCGTGACCGAGCTGTGCAGGGCTGAGCTAAGCTACCAGTGTGGGAGGCTTGTGCCTACAGAATACGCCTCTTCCTTGAGGTCTGGGTCCGAAGAAGAAGAAGAAAAGCTTGGCGTGGTCACAATGAAGCAGGAATCTTTCAACTTTAAACACCGTTCATTTTCAACTTTATTTAATATACGCGTTTGTGGGTTGATGTGGTTTTCGGGGGTTTTGGAAGGCACCGAAGTACACAAATGCAGCCAGGAGCCCCGAAAGCTTGTGAAGAAGGTTGTAAAGGTTGTTGCGAAGAAAAAGGTTCTGACCGGTTCTATGCTCCGCTTTTTGAAGAGGGTTCCATACCAACCCTTGAAGATCGCAAAGGCCTGAGTGACAGCAGTGGTTTTACTTTCCACACGTTTCAAGTTTCTAGATTTCATGGCTGGCAGGTACCATTGCACGGCGTCATCGGGGCCAAACATATTTGCCCTGTGGGTGGCCTGCAGTTCAACAAAGCAAAGCCTCTGAATCTCAAGTGCGTGTTAAGCTTGGTCCACTTTTTTTGTTTTCTGGTGGTCTCGCTAAACGTTCATGGCCCAGGTGTCTCGCAACAAACCAGGTCGAAAGGACAACGGCGCTAAGATTTTCACTGGCGCGAAGGTGTTTCGCCGGTGGGGTACTATAAGCCAGGGCCCCACCCAGGACAGATGGTTGATTTTGTAGTTTTTGCTGGTCAAGGAGTATTCTCAGCTTCCACTACTGTCACCCAATCCGCAGTGAGCCAGAGGGGGATCAGCGCTTGGGGCCAAGTTCTTTTTTCAACATAGTAAACTGACAAAGTCTGTTGTTGCTTTCAGGATTTGGCGAACCAGATCGCCCACTCAGAATCATACCGCTCCGCAATGGGGGGGTTGAAGACACACCACGGCCGCTTCCTTGCTCCGTGTGCCGCTGAATGGTTTTCAGGCCTGCAGCTCTAAGGTCTAGTCTAGCTAGGGTGCGACGGCTTGTCAAAATGACTTTTTTCCAGGATTCCCCATCAACTGGACCTTGCCACAGAGCGGCGCCGTATCCCCGGACCTTGTCAACCAGATGTTCCCAATTCAGCCTGAGGCCTTAACAGATCAGTTCGATTTCGCTTTCTTTGACCCACTTAGCCTGCCAGGTCAAGCGCATACCTGCGATCAGCCTGTTCACAGGAGTTGGCGGATTGGAGTTAGGCTTGAGGCCGTGGTTCTGGCAAGTTTACCGCTCAGTGATGAAGAGTCCACTGGGTTGCAGTGTTCTAGCAGGCACATTTTGCACACGTGCCATCAATTCTTTGTGTTTTTTGTTTGCCCAATGCGCTTTCAAGCAAGCGCTCCCACAGGGTCAGTTAAAAGAAACAAAACAATGGCAAAAGCAAATGTCCATTTGTGGGCCAAAGTCTTTGGTTAGCAGTAGGATTGAAAAGTTGGGTCTTTCACTCACTACATTTGTCATTCTCTGACTTACTGTCGACTCAGTGGTGATGAACACTGATGGACGCCGGGATGAAGTGGGTGAACCCACAGAAAATGTCCTGATTGTGCGGACTGTTGGCATCAATCAAATCAGGCCAGGGATTCACACACCTGTGTTTTGAGATGATTTCAACCACACACACACACACATGTCTGTGAAAAGTGGTGGACAGGATTGCGAGTAGTGGCCTAATTACCTGCCGGTGGAGGGATTCAGTGTCCCATCCTGAGAACAGGTTTAAAGCAAATGGTTGGCTGTTTGAAGATTAGTAAGTAGTACCTGTGTTCCCTGTTCAGGTGGATGTGGGATCGAAATCATTGGGTTGCCTGTGCCACCCCATCCGCTTCGCAGGCACCCACACTTTTGGGTTCATTGCGCAGTAAGTATTTGATGTTCTGACTCAATACTAGAGGTGGATACCAACTTTGCAGGTTGAAGGCAGCCGTGTTGACCTGTCCAGAACTTCCAATTCAGCAGCTGCTGGGCCTGGGGCTGGAGATTCTGCTGCAACGGTTCAGTCTCCAAAGAAACGAAAATCGGCTTGAGAAGCTAAAAAGTGAACCCATGCTTCAAGTCCGAAACCATTCACACATCTGAGTATATGTACGACTTTTAACTTTTCAACTTTGATGTGTTGATTCAACTTCATTTCTGCCAGGTTCTTCGAGGTTACCGAGATGGTTTGGGCCGTAGCGCAGAGGAACAAACCAACTCTCGGCGTTGTCATGTTATTTTGCTCTTGGTTGAGGTGGAATGTGACGAGCATTGTTCGTCAGTGCTTAGGGCACGCGTGAGTGACTCTTGCTTGCCGAAGTGTGAGATTATCCCGGATGTTCGGGGCTATCGACCAACGATGGCCGCTGAGCACGCAGAAGCTTTGTTGGGAGGATTTCCATGCCAGGCGTGTGTATCAGAACATATGTGCGTGTGTGTTACTTGTTACAGTCCGAAGTTCTCAGAATCATGTTTGCGACCGCCGGCCTTCAGGGAACAAGCCAGGCAGGGAAGCAGGGAGGCCTGACTGATGGCCGGTCTGGCCTCATTCGCGAAGTTTTCAATGTGTTTGACAAGATGCCAAATGGGTTTCAGCCTCAAGATTGACATTGAACAAGTTGCCACTTTCTCAAACTTAGTCACTGCTGGCTTTGTTGAGTTCGATCATCCTGTTGGAGAACGTGAAGGGCCTCCTGAGTTCCCAGAAGCAGTGCAGGGCACTGTGGAACTATGTCGTGAAGGCTGTTTGTTAGCTGAAAAGACCTAGCCTAGAAGCAAGATGCTCAACATTCCTTTTTGTAGTGGAGGAGTTCCGGCGGCGTCAGATGGATATGAAGTGGGTGACAGTGAGCTTGGACAACTGCGGACTTGCTGCTGGATCCCAAGAACAAAAACCGTCTTTGATTTGAATGATTTAGAAAACGAGTCTGAGGCTGGTCGTGCCCGAGTCTTTATCCTGGCTCACAAGCGTGACAGAGCCAGTGTCTCAATTTCTTTTCCCATCCCCTCCCCAGCTGCAAGCTGGATTTGCCAAGGCCCTCTCCCTGCCGAACGTGAACCTCCAGGAGGAGTTGGCCTGGAACCACCTGAACCACATTGACATGAAGGACTGGTTGGCCAAATCCCGGAATGCTGGGGACGCGCAGCGGCTCAAAGCAATGGGCAACTGTGTGGTTCCAATTATGGCAGCCACCGCATTTGGCAAGCTTGGAAAGATTTGCCAGTTGGGTGATGTGTAAAGGGGTAGACTTTGTCCATGCAATGTCCTTTTACCTACTGTTTAATTCGGAATGCTGCGTGATTTTTTGAACGTGACTTCAAAGTTACTCTAGCCTGGTGTTGATGGTTGTGACTCCACGCAGTGTGTTCAATTGGTTGGTGCAAGCCAACCCTCTCGCTTCACTGGGTTTGCTCTCGCTGTTTCCCAGCGCCGTTGAATGATACCCAAGGCTGTGGAGTGAAAATGTTGTTTTGGGTTTCTTTTGGTTTGCAAAGAGTAAGTGCCCTTAACCTGGCATTATGTACGGGCTGAATATGGACCATGGCAGCAGTGACAGCAGTTTTTGGGCTCTGTCACTTGGGGTGTTCAAGGCGCAACCTGTTTGAACCCATGGGGGACTTAATGAAGGCGTTCAGTTTTGTGAAGCAGGCTGTGAAGGGAACTGTGGTTTCAGTGGAAGCCGACAATGGGGCAGATCGTCGAGCCCAGAACATTGACCTTCTGATTAAGATCACCGCAGAGGATTCAGTCGTCTTCGACTTTGGACAGGTTTCCAGGGCCGTTCTGAGTGATCAGGGCTCTCGTGAAACTGTGCTCCTGATGGGAGACATCGACCAAGTTGGTGTCCGGCAGTATGGGAGTCATGCATTAAATGGAATAATGTTTGCTGTACTTTTTGCCAGCAGCTTTTCTCTTCAAGACCCCTTGTCTTGTTTGGTTCACCAAGGATTCTATTTCAAGACCAGTTGGCTGTGATTGACACAAGCCACAAGAAGATTGAGATTTTTGCTGAGTGGAACACGCCCCAATCCATGGCCCGTATGGCGGCCACCAACTGGGATTGTACAACCACATTGTTCATGGTTGAACTGGATCCGGTTCAGACTTCAGTGTCGCAGCCAATCATTGACATTGGCACACTCAGGACACTCCCAGTCAATGAATGAACGTTGCAGTGTGGTTTGTCGCTTTGCTGTGCTAAATTGTAGATAGCATTAAACCATTTTCCATCATTGTAGGACCCACAAGGAAGAACGTGAATGCACGATTGTCAAAGTATGCTCTGAGAAGTTTTCCCTTTTCCAGAGCCTTGCTACGAGACTTTGATTGATATGGTTCAAGTTGGGACCAGTCGGCATGTTCACATGTGGCCCTTTTTGACCGACCGAGGCAGACCCTATATCTTTAACTTGATGGACTGCAAGTCCAGTCGATTTTGGACGCTGCCTCAAAGAGTTTTTTTGCAACCCTGCCCAACGAAGATTTACTGTAAGCCTACTTTTTGTGAGGCCCACTGTTTGCCATGAAGCTGAGCCGTCCGAGCTGGAAGCCCCCGCCCAAGGTCAGTCTGTGAAGGGTGAACTAGATCGAGAATAGGGCCTCTAGTTTATGATTTGGGAATTAAGCGATTTAAGCATACCACCCATACAAAACTCCTATTAGCAAGCAAACAAGAAACCTCATGAGGGGTTGCCAGCAACACATTGGTGGCGCAAAGTGTTGGAACCGGCCACTCCCTCCCATCCACCGTTTGAATTTGTTTCAGGGTTTGTGTGTGCCAATTTAACCTTGATCGATGGCGCCATGTTGTCAGCAAGTCCCTGTTCGAAGTGATGGATGAGAGCTCAATGGTGCCAATAAATGTCAAGCTTTGCTGCAGTGGACGAATTGACAGAGTCTGGGGATGAGGGTGGTGAGAACCTTGGCAAGTCCACGCCAAGACTTTCTGTGCCTCAAGCCAGCTCACGGCGCAAGAGTTCAAAGCGAAAACGGGAGGAGGCGTCCGCATGCTTCAAGAAGCAGCTGTCCAGCGAGGATTCTTTGCGCAATTTGCTAGCAAAGGCTTGTGTTCAATGCAACCACCGGTGCTTGGAGAAGTTCAAGTCATTGTCCAAGTTCAAAGAGCTGAAAGAATTTCGGGATGACTGGGTAGGACTTGACAAGCTGGATCAGGACCAGCTGGCCTTTGATAGAATTCGAGGGATCCTGGAAGAACCTCGGGATGAGGGTGTGCCTCCAAGGTGGACTATCCTTAATGTGCAGGTTTGCTTGCGTGCTTGGAAGCGGTTACATGCCTTAGGCCACTCGCTCAATTATGCATAGTAGTGATTCACGGTGCCGGGATTTGGTCGGATTTTGGGAGGCCACGCGCACACACATAACGGCCAAATACTTCCATTGCTCGAGCATGTTTACTGTTTTTGTGTGGCCACATCAGATCACCTGATTGCATCAACTACTATTGTTTTTTGTAGATGGTTGTATACAACCATAGATTGAGTCCAATGAAGCACATGGGGTGAATCCTAGGTAGCCACCGATTCGGCAAACTACGGGAAGCTGTGGAAGCTGGACGGCAGGGTCCACCGTGTGATATGCGGTACTTGCGTGCCCCCAAAGCTGACATGACAGGCGAGAGCAGCAAGGGTCGGGTTGTGACGTTTTTGGAACAAATTTACACATCACAGGCTGAGACCCTGCCAGACTTCCGAGATACTTTGGGTGACTCCGATCTATCTCATGGATATGAACTTGATGTCACTGTGAAGCACCAGTTCCATGACGCTTATGGAGAAAACGTGGGCAAGTCCGGCGAGAATAAGAAGACCAAGTGTCGCCAAACCTTCCGTTCGATTAGAATAAACCCAGAAAAGTTGAAGAATCAAGAAGTGCGACACTTGCCGCCTGGTTCCATGAAAGACATATATGAGCAGTTTTGCATTTCTGAGCCTGAAGGGGCGAAGGTTGGCTTTGCCACGTTCTGGCGAACGTGGCGGTCCGAGTTTCCGAATCTTCGGTTTCGCCCATACAGCAGTCATGCGATTTGCAACGAATGCATCCAACACAAACTCCTTGTCAAGGACCTCTCCCACCACATAAAGGCTCGAAGCGCGCAACAGGCGCTGTACGTTCAGCACCTGGACGCGCAATATCAGGACCGACTATCGTACTGGAAGTCACGATCCTTGTCTCGGATGCAGAGTGGCGAGTTGGTGACAATAATCGACAGCATGGATCAAGCGAAGTTTGCATTTCCAAGAAGCAGCCTGTTCCGCACCAAGGACTTGAACAAATGTCAGAGGGGGCGGGCACACGTGACAGCGGCCATTTGTCATGGTTTCAACACCTTACTGACAATCAGCCCACCAGAGCTACCAAAGGATGCCACGACGATGATCGAAATTCTTGCCCACAGCATGACATTGGCCCAGAGACAAGGGGCGCAGCTGGATCAATTGTGCTATGTGGTGCAGTGTGATAACTCTCCTCGGGAGTGTAAGAATAATTACATGTTGAAATACCTATGCTACATTGTGGCCAATGGCGTGTGCAAAAGCGCATCGCTCCGATCGTTACGATCGGGGCACAGTCACGAAGACGTAGACCAAGAATTTGGCAATTTAGCCAGGTTCATGTCTACACGAGTTCGCCTGGCATCGACGTTGACCGATTTCAGGGATGCCATTCACTGTTGGCAGACTTCAGCCATGAAAAGACCACATGAAAGCGAGCACCATGCTGTTTTGCTGGACCAAACCCGGAGCTGGCGACTGCTTGGCAAAAAAATGAAGGTTTTTTATGTTACAATCGAGTGATGGCTTTGGTTTGCTTCCAACTAAAGCCAACCAAATCGGCCAACGCAGGCTGCTTTGAACTTCCCTTGGTTGGTGTGGGCGCATTTGGATTAAAACCATCGGAATTGTTTGGTCAAGACATAAGTCAGTCAGTCCAATGTTCGTGTTTCTGCTTTTTCCAAGGAAGGGGTTCATGACACCAGCAATGCCGGTCTTTGTCAAAGGCATGGGTGGCCGGGGCGCGGCCCATGTTTTTCACATGCAGCGGAGGGAGTCTTTGAGCTCCTTGGCGCATTCATTGTTCATGAACTTTCCAAACGTTGAGAGGATGGCCCACGAGTCATTGTCCTTCTGAATTTGGCTACTATTCAACCTATTTTATTTGATATTCTGATTCTACATGTTGGCGTCCACCGTACCCTCCTAGGTCCAGATTCCATTGTGCAGGATGACCTCTGGCATTTGCCTCCACACCCTCGCGATGTCATTCTTCAGACCCTTAGTTCTCTTGCTAGGTGAACTCATTTGTTTGTCTTTCTTGAAGTTGAGTGTTTGGCAAACCCAATGAATATGACAAGCTCGACTTGGTGACACCTCAGATTCAATGTGAGGACCAAACAGTGGATGGCTGACGCAAATTTCCAAACCTTCCATTTGTATCTTCCTTGGCAAGTGATGCAAGCGCGGCTTCCACAAGGGATTCCGGCAGGCGATTTGCTTTCATGGGCGCCCCTTGTGTTGTTTTTGGTTGAAAGCAAACTATTTTTTTCGGTAATGACAGTACGCTTGGATGGTACCAGCTCACAGGTATTGCTGAGCGGGCCCCAATTACTGACAACTACAGGGAGCATGTTCTGAAGTTCTTGCCAGTCATGCGCAAATACGAACTTCATGAAGCAGCGAATTTCCTTTATGCGTGGGTAACGGGCACCCTGGAGCGGCAACCTTTGCTAGACGTTTCTGCGACGCTTGATTGGGTATGGCCATGGATTTATACATTCTTGTTGATTATTTGCTTTCAAGTTGTTGCATCTAGTTAGTATGCCCTCACAAAGGATTGACACTTCAAGTAAATTGGGATTCGATCTTAGGTGTTGCAACCTCCAGGGGCCTAAGCGGTTCTTTCTGGGCGACAAAAGACCGACGAGCTTCGAGCCAGCCCCCAATGTTCTGAAGTTCTGTGGCTGCAAGCTAGCTGTTTTATTTTTTCTAAAAGAAGAGTGACGTGAACAACGCTCCTTTTGGTGGGGTTTGTGCCCCAAATTTTTTCCAGGTTGCAGAAGCAAAATAATGCTCGAGAAGGTGCAGACTATGTTGTGGGGGCTCGGAAGGACATGGCGCTTCAAGCTGCTGCATTAGCCTGGAGTCAGGGCGTTCCATGGGCTGAGGCTTTGTCTATAGCCACAAAGTCCATCAAAAAAGCAGCTGCAAAGTTGGTTGGAAAGCGGTAGGACCTGACTGCGCTGGCTTTGGCCTGTTAGTTAGTTTGTTTTTTCCTGTGATACTCTGGCTTAACTGTGACGTCAGTTTGTATGTGTTTATTATTTGCCACATCAGTCACAAAAAGGCTTGGGGAGCCTTGCCAGGCAGTCTTGTTTCCGACCAAGAAAGATTGTTAAGGCAGGCGCTTGATTCTCTTTGAACTCTTCTATTGGGCAGCCGTGCACACTGGCCCAATGCCTAAAGGGTATTGAGCAACGTGTCCACTTAGCAAAGTTAAGGGACATGTGGCTGTGCGACTTGGAGAAAAATGTAGCGCTTTCACCATCAAACTCGATCCGTTTTGATTCAAGAAATGAAACATCAGTGGTTGCCTGTGCCAGCCTCAAAATGATTTATTGTCCAAGTGGAGTCCTTCGAATCATGAACCTAGCTACTAAAGAAAACATGTTCCGGTTTATGGGTCCCGGGTGCAGCAGCGTAGTAAATAACCTTGTTGGCTGTCATCCTTTTGTTCCACTGTTTGAATGAGGCAGTCAGAGTATAGTTTTTGTAAGCTGTCAAATCCTTGTCGTGATCCTAAACCCTTTTCGTTCCGGTTTTTGGGTGCGGCAGCGTAGTTTACGGGGCTCTGCGCATGTTGTGGGGTCAAACTCGGCAGCTTCTGGATTCGACACTCTTTGTGTGGCAGGCTTGATGGACGAGAAGTGTTGGATCCGAGGTCGGATTCGACACTTTGGCCTGGGACAGGGACATGTGATTACATATTCACAAAAAAGGAATGGGAAGGCGGCCAGTTTTATCCAGGCCAAAGTGTCGAATCCCACCTCGGATTCAACACTTTGAGCCCCCTTGAGTTTGTCTGGGACAAAGTGTCGGATTTTGGTTCGGTGAATCCAAGCAAAGTGCTGTTGCATTTCTTGGGTTCTCAAAGTGTCGGATTTTAACAGCTCAGAGCTCTTGACAACCACAGTGTCGAATTTTGTGTACGTCAATGTCCAACGTTTTGGACCTCACGGATGTCATGTTTTCTCTAAAGCTTGATGGGCCAGGCAGTGTTGGGTTCTGTGACAAGCAATTTGCAGATTTTTTGTTCTGGGGTTGGCGTCAAAGGCTTCAGTTTCAGTTTCTGAATGCCCCCATCCAGCTGGCAAACAGCACTATGTACAGTTGGTTTCAGCGTGATGCCTTCCAGGAGCAATTTATGTGTTAGGGACTTGACCCGGTTTGAAACAATGAGCCATTACAGGGACCTTGACAGGGCCAAGCTGTTCAATTGGTAGGAGTCTCCCGACTGAAGGTCAGAAACATCCTAAATGGGCGCGTTCAACCCTCCAAGACTTTTTCCAATCAACGTTGAAGATTCAACTTTCTGCCCCAGGGTGTGGTGAAGTTTGGGTTCAGCAACAATCCTGGAACAACAACCCTTTTCTGCGAGAGATTTGCTGCTTGGAGGCCTCTCGAATGAACTTCCCAGTGGAGAACCCAGTTGCAGAACGCAAGCGGCAAGTTGTTTAACCACTGATTGGCAATCTGAATCAGTAGAAGGCGTCATGAGTCACAACACTGTGGTGCAAATCTGTTGGCGGATTTTTGTTGAGGTGTGCAGGATAATAAACACCTTTTGTTTGGCCCATTTGACGCTTTGCCGGACACCTCAACTTACCCCCGTTTTGCCATCGTGGCCCCACAACAAGGTGCTGCTACCTCATGATCAAGGTGGCGGTGGTGCTGTCAGTGTCTAAGCAGACACCAGTTTCACTTGTGGGCCTTGGGAGCTCCCAAGCTGGCAGAGAGGGAGGGAGAGAGAGAATAACTGTGAAAATAGAGTGCCTCGAATTGAGTTTGACAGAGTATTTGCTGTCAGCTTGAACTCAAGGTTCTTGAATCGGCGGTTATCATTGACAGAAAACTGCGTTTGTCTCACTGTGTCACTTTTTGAGGCTCAGGCTCAGGTGTTTTGGCCACATCCATCGCAGCTTTGATTTTGCCACACGGTTGGTCATGCCGCAGGTCAATAAGCAGGATGTTTCGCTCCTTGCCGAGGTTTGCAAGAGGGACCCGGACAGTGCCGAAAACGTCCGTGAGACATGTACCAAGCTGCTGCGATTCGGAATATCAGGAATTGGCGAGTCAGTGATAGATCTGGGCGTGGTCTTGACACAGGCACGGGTCAAGGCCCGAGATGGTTCGTGGGACGATGTGGCCACCATTTCGTTGGCAAGCCTCGGGGTAACTCCTGTGCCAGGGAGGTTGGGACTGCCAGCCTTGAGTGCCTTGGATACTAGCCAGATGGTCATTTTGAAAAACGAGTTGACAACCAGTTGTCGGAATGGTTGTGGGATCCTTCTTTAGCGAACCTTAGTATCAACCTTCATGACTCACTCCTGCATGCAAAGTGCTCGTTCGAAGACATCAAGATCTTCTTGGAGCGTCAGGACAGGTGAGCCTGAGAGTCAGCTTGCTAAGGGCTTACAGTTACAAAGCCCTTTCGTTCCTTCCCGGATTATGCAGCAGCATTGGGGACTTATGAAAAGGTGTTGAGTTGGCTTTTGTTGGAGCTTTAACCTTCCAGCCGCTAAACTGGCGCTGTTCCGCAAAGAGTGCTGGTTACCTTATGATTTGAGAGGTGTTGGAGGTAGGCTAAAGATTTTTCGAGTGATTGCCGCACGTCAAAGAAGACATTTAATTCCTGGCGCAATCTGCTGTGACAGGCTGACGTCTGGCTCAAGTCTTTCAGGCCTCATGGCCCCAAAGAAACGAAAGTCAGGCCAACAAGGTGGTCCAGCCTCCAAGGAGGCTAAGAGCCAGCCAGCGCATGTCACCCAAATCACTTCGTGGTGCTTTGATCTAATAACTTTTTGCCAGTCGGTCTGTTTTGAAGCTGATTCTTCTTTTTCTCTGGAACGATCAAGCTGTCGTCACCAAGGTTCCGTGAGCATGTCGTTCCAGCAGGGGGTCCTGATCGCTTTCTTATGAACAAATACGAGACCCAGGAGTGTTCCAAAGTTTCAGCCCTGGAGATTCACGGGCAAATAGAAAAGGCTCCTGTATCGGTAAGGCGTTAGGATTTCAAGGTCTCACCCAGAAAACTTTAGCAAAGAGCCTGGATTGTTTGCTATGCTTTGGGAGGACGTTGATGTGCCCTGCTTGCGTCATTCTGATTGGGCCCCGCTTTTCAAAACAAATTATTGGCAGGACGATTTGATGAGCTTTGCCAAATGGATTGACAATACATTCCCGCCAGACTCCAGGCCAGTGGTTTGTTTGCTTGACGGGCCCTGAGGTTGAATGATGATTTCTTGCAAGTAGAACACCTTTGATTTGTTTGTGCACTGTGAAAACATGGAGCTGGGTGCTTCAGGGTCGAGTATGCTTCGGAGCTTGTGAGTGGAGAACATCGCATTCGTCCCTGGAACCTCTCATTCCGGACAATGTTGTTTGTCTCACGATGTTTCAAGACTGTTTGGGCAATAAACCGGCACCCTTCATGTGTCATCATTCCAGGACAGATTTTGGCATTGCAGGCTACGCCGAACCAGAGGAAACCCTCACCCTCATTGAGCTCATACTGACTGAGGGGTTTCTGTTTGATGGTTTTGATGTTTTTGCAGTTATGTGTTTTATGGTATGTCCTAGACTGAATCAACAATTCGATGTGGCACTCAGGTTTTTAACCAACAGTGCCATCCCTGGCACAGAGCGGATAGCAGTGACAGCTCCAGACAGTGCTTTCATGGACTCAGAGTACAAGGGTTTGCCGTTGCTGCACGGTTCTGCCCTCAAAGTAAACATGATCGCGTCCTTCTGTATAGTAATTAAGATATACTGTACTTGGAATCAGATTCGCGCGTTGGGTGGGCCTGTAGAGAGTGTTGTTAAGCAATGTGTTGAGGCGATTTGCTGGGCCCATTCAGTGTGGCTTATGTGAAGGGCTGGAGGAGATCCGTAGCATGTTTGATATGCTTGGAGGCGATCAGGTGCCTTCAGGTGAGCCTTGAAGATTTGACCCAAGAGTTCAAGGCAAGGTGGGTTCTCTCTGTTTTTTGCCTGTCATCAAGCTCTTGACGCACAGAAGAATTGCCGGGAGCTTTCGATCCGGAGTCAAGTCTAAGTGTGACAACAAACAGGGGACGGTCAACACTGTGTACATCACGGTAGCCCGCTTCAACAGCGTCAAGGATATGGTCAATACGAATCGAGGACAGCCCGCCAGCTGTCAGTGCAAGGTGGAGTAGTAGCTACAGCATCTCTATCTCTTTTCAATAGTTTCATGTTATCAATCATTCTGGCAGGCATCAGCCTAGCCAGCACCGCAACGAGAAAGGCTCCAAACGCATTCAACTTCCTGAGACAATTGGAGATCATTCAGCGAGCCACCAAGCAGAGCGCTGAAGCTGCGTTTGAGGTGGCTTGTAAGAACAAGCTTTATCCAGCCTGTTGAGTCTGTTGAATGTAGTTTCCATAGTGGTCTTCTGGATTTTACAAAGTCAATGCAAAGTCCTGAATAGATTTCCTGCCACGCCTGCAGCGTGGAAGTGACTTGGGACTTCAGGCCACAGCTGCTCCCAAGTAGGGTTCGGGCAAGAGGACGAGTGACTCAGGAACTGTGAGCGCAACAAACGCCTGTCTACTTTGAAAGAATAATACCATACCCAAACGCGCAACAATTGAAACCTTTGCCTTGCAGTTCTCTGTAACTAGAATTGGTGTTCAAACAACTTTCGTGTGATTTTCATGCATCGGTCGCCGCCTGTGGTAACGGTATCATGTTTGTAGCAGTTTTTGGTAGAGAGTGTTGAGGGTTCTGCTGGCAAATCGGCATCGCCAAGGAATGGGCCAACTCTACAAAGATCATGAGGGCTTTCAACATCGGTGAGAAGGAAGCAACCGCTGTCAGCAACTTGCAGGACAGGGTTCCGCCGGAGGTGACCCAATGGCTTCGGGAGGCCGTGAGGCCTCGCGGAATGCGTCGATGGATGAGTCACGACCTGATTTCCAAGAACCTTTTCAACAAAGGTTTTACATCAGGCACAGGCTTGTATGACGCCTGGAGTGAGCAACTCACAAACGGCAAGGATGACGTTGTTGAGTCTTGATTCTGGAATTATGTAGTAGTTTTGTGCTGCAATAGTTGCTTCTTTGTTTTTTTCTATTGTTCGGTGTTCAAGGTAAGGCCATCATCTATTTTCGGATGTTTGCAGTCTTCTGAAACTGGCCTGTTCCAAGGTGAAGCTTTTCCTCTCGCGGCTGATTGCGGACTGGGACAGGAAGCCTCCTGAATTGAGGACACAGTGGCTGTACAAGGACGCAGTAGCTCTTCACTCTGCAAGTGGCTTCTTTGTATATCTCATGAACGAGCTTGAAAAGAAGGTGCCAAAGAGTGACTTTTTGAACGCAAAGGTCAATCTGGAGGCCCAATTCATGAGTGGGTTCCAAGATCCGGAGATTCTTCATTTGCTGCAATCCACTGTTCCGCCAGTCAACCTGCGGGATGTTTCCTTTGTGCAGACTCTTGTTAGCACAACGCCCACCAACTTAGTGGCCACAAGACTTCAGAAGCCATAAAATTTTCAATCACCATGCCGTGTTAGAGTGGAACACACGAAAGACTTTTGGGGTTTGACAGGTAATCATTCAGTGAATCAGCGTGCTACAATCTTCCCAGTCAGTCAGCCATCGTCCCAACTCAAGGGTCTCATGCCTGGCTTAAGGAATGTGGTGGTGGCGGTGGAAGCACGGGTGCAGAAAGAAGTGGAAACCAAGAATGCAGAGCTGGCTGCAAAGGTTCACGCAGCAACACTTGAGCAGATCCGGCATCAAGTGAACAAAGACCTTGATGTGTTACGGGCACGCCTCCAAGGGAAAGAACAAGAGGCCTTGGAATCGATGAAGGATCAAGCCTACCTCAGGGAGCGTCAGCAGAATCTAAGATTCAATATTTACTACAATTTCACTCACAAACCTTGAAACAAGGCAACACGTAACAATGTACTGACAGGCCGTTTGCTTGTCATTGTTTTTCACGGCTACAGCTGCTGTGTCATTTGGAATGTGCTCACCATGGTTCCCTGAGGAAGGGGCAAGCTTTCACCCAGCAATGGATGGAGGACAATTGCAAATTGATTCGGGTTGACCAGTCCATGAACAATGCCATGCCAGAGGTTGGGCGCTTCCTCTCCAAGGTCAGCAGCAAGCGAACGTAGCCAGGCAGAAGGAGTGTAGTTGTCCCAGCCTTCGTGTCACTACTGGGGGTGGCCACTGGGCTAGCTAATTGTTATGTTGTTTAAAAGCAAGGAGGCTGCTGGTAGACGGCGTAGCGCTTTGAAGCACAAAATCTACTTTGTTTGTGGTTATGTTCAAGTCTTATGGACAACAAGGCTGGTTTTGGCCATGGCAGATTGCTCAGTGTGGCCTTCTAACGCGACCTATCTCCAGAATGCCCTCAATGTTGTGAAGTCTATTGCGAACCTCGGGCCCACCAATGCTGCATTCGCATTGCTCCCATTGCAACATGCTGCCATCCATTGGCAAGCGTTGCTTAAGCACAGAAGATCATTGGAAGACAGTCTGGCCAGTGGAGGCTTGGATGTCCTCAACACCGTTTCCGTGATGTTCTCCAAGCCCAATTCGGCTGGCAACGACAAGCGCAGACCTTGTCAGCAAGCCATCTTCTCCACTACATCCAGCACCCAGACTGAGAACGTTTGGACTTCCTCGAGTGGGTGGGTGTCTCAAGCAATTGGTCCAGTTCCACTGGTCAAAATTGCTGAGATGATTGGCTATGATGCAGAGGTGCGGCCAACGCCTGGATCGCGAGTGGAGCAGACACATGTTGGCAAGTTATGTGTTTGATCATGTCTGCGTAATTTTTATTGTTGTTTGGGTTGAAAACCTAAAAGGAAATAGTCGTTCATACAGCAGAAACTGCTGGGATATTGGAAGTATCCTTGTGTTTGTCATGTGTGTTGTATTAAGGAAGGGGATCAAAGCTTTCAGCGAGATTGTCAAGGCACTCTTCAAAGGTGTTCCTTTCCTCCCAGACGACACCGTGGTGCTTCTTGACGTGATCCCAAACAAGCAACTTGGTCCCAGCTGATGATACCTGAGCTACTGTTGACTATCATGGCGCTTAGTCAACTATCAGCTACTAAACACCGGTGTTTAGTTGGCAGTCCCAGGCACTGCGAACTGGGTCGGGCAGTTGTTCAGCGACTTCTTGTTGACAAGAATCGGGACCCTGCGCTGGTGTACTGTGGGCTCATGTTTGAGAAGGACGGCCAGGAGGCAGATGCGGCTCTCCAGAAGATCATCTATGATTTGTGGGACGCTGATCCAGAGTCGCCTCCCAAGCGGCGCGAGCGTGAGGATTTGCCAGACCCTCATTTAGAGGTTTTGGCATGGTCCAATGGAGTCTGCCGCTTTCCGGAGAGTCTCTTCAACAAGTTCACCCCTGGCACCAAGAGTTACGTGGAACTCACCGAGTTGAAGGAGGAGGTGTTGAAGGTTTGCCCCGAAGCAGCGCAGGCAGAGACAGGTCCAAGTGGTGTCTCCACAGCGCCGCGTGCTGGTGGAAAGCCAGACTTCACCATTGAGGGAGGGAAGGAGCCCCTTGATGTTACCAGGGATGTGGATCTGCCTATTATCAGCGCCGCAGACTTCAACTTTCCCAGGCCTGGTCTCTCCTCCTGGTTGTTTGGGTATGGGTGTGGGGTGCGCGTGGCTGTCTACATGTTTGTATGAATCAATGTGCTAAATTAAACCCTGGAATAAAAATACCTTGACGCGAGGCTGGCTTCTCTCATTGGCTCCAGGGGCAGGCCATCGTTGTTTGTCACCCCATCCATGGAGATGTTCATTGGGAACCCTACGAATGAGAAAATGACCTTGAGTGGATGTGAGATTTGTGGATTCAACACTGGCACTTTTGAGGAGAAGATCGTGACTAACATGGGTGAGTCAGAGACCGCCTGTTTGCCCTGGCGGTTGCCCGATGACTTGGCTTTGGTATTGAACTCTGAGCGCAAGCTGTTGAGCTTGGCGGACTTCATTCACCAAGCAGTGACCGTGAATGGCCTGGCTGAGTTTGAACTTCGTGACCATATCTTGACTCCAAAGCAACTTCCACCAGTCACGTGGCTGAGTTGAAGCGCATAGCAGGACTTCATTGTTGTGTCCTGCCATAATTCTCTCAGGCGTCAGATGGAGCTGACCCAAAGATTGTGCCCTACCGGTATGATGTGAGCGCCCCACCGAGCGGAAAGTCGAACTGCTTCCGACCTGCGCCGTTGGGGGAGGATCCTACTTTGAGGTGCTGCCAAGATTGCCTGTTTATTCATATGGGGCTTCATGATCATAGTAGGCGGAACTGTAATCTGTCTCTTGTTGGAGGCATGCCAACTTTGGTGCTGTGTTCGTTGGTAAGCTCAACATGGTGCCAAGAAACAAAATCGCGCAGGTGGTGTGGGAGGCACTGTAATTTGAAGCTTCTCCCATTCAATGCAAATGATATGTCTTGTAGTTGTTATGATTCTTGTTTTTGGATTGGCCTTGTGTGCCAGGTCATTACTCAGACAGGTACAGGAACTGCTAAGTTGCTAGCCACCAAGCCGAAATTGTACCTTACAGCGACGATCGTTTTGCCTCCCAACGCTTGGGTCAAGATTTCATCTTGACCATTTGACTGGCCTTGAAACTTTTGGCTGATGCGTGCCTGCAAACGTGCCAAACGTTGGAAATATGTTGGGAAGCGGTGTTGCTTGTACTATGTTTGTTTGTTTGTATGTGTGTGATATTCGACATTGTTTTATATTTAGGTTTAAATCAGCCATCGTTGGTTTCTAATTCTTCATTCCAATGGCACGCAGCCACGCGTTTTCTCCGCAGTGGACGCAGCAGAAGGTCACGTCCTAGCTATCAGCTGGCAGTTCATGGATTTTGGTGAACCGTGAACCATGAGCATTCAGGACAATATATCTGACAGAAGTTCCCCGTGGCATGCAAAAGATTGGCGCTGCTGTTAGAATTTTTGAATGAGCCAGCATGCCAGTCTATTAGTCAGACTCGTATATATCAAACAATATTCACATATCATTTCTTGGCCGCACAGGTTCAGTGCGCAAGCTTCTAGTTAGTAGATGCGGTTGTGGGACAAATGGGTGTCCTTCGTCCTGTCAGCGAACTGACAGCGTCAGAGGAGGAGGATCAGGCCAGTCCAGCCTGTTTGCTTGCTGTTCTCAAGATTCATGTTTATTATTTACATAACAGAACAACACAGACCAAAGGTCTGAGTCAGTCAATGTTTTTTGAACGACACTGGAGGCCCAAAAGCCACCAGCTGCACCCCTGAAGCGACCTTCTGCTTTGCGCAATCCGAAGCCGAAGCCAGAGCCAGTCAAACAGCAAAAGGTTGACGGTAAGTCTGAGGGTTCAGAAGGACCACCTGCTGTTGACCCCGAATCTGCAGAACCTGCCCAAGTCTCCGAATCACCCAAGCCCAGCCCGAAACCCAAGGCGAAGGGAAAAGCTAAGGCGAAGGGAAAAGGGTCTCCGAAGGGGAAAGCCGGGCCGAAGGGGAAACCGAAGGGGAAGGCCAAGGCGAAGGGAAAAGACAAACAGGAGAGCGAAACCAAGGAGGAGGGAGATGGTGAGGGAGGGAGGTCCAAGTCGAAGGGCAATAGGGATGAGGACATCCCTATAACTGGGGGGAAGAAGACAAAAGAGAAGACCACGAAGGGGCGAAAGACGAATCCGAAGAATCCAAGTGGCCCTGTGTCAGGCTTGATTTTTCGATCCGTTCCCTTAACCAGAAAAGTGATTAGTGCAAAATGCTGTCGCGATTGTTGGCAGGCCTGGATGACAAAGACAGGAAGGTCAGTGCTGTGTACTACTACAAGGGCACTGGGGTCTTTGGAGTGAAGGTGAACGGCCATGAAGTTTTGAAGGCAGAATATTGTTTGTGATTTCTTGTGAATCTTGTGTAAACAATTCTCACCGCAATACTGCTTATTCGCAATTTCTGCGCTGCGTGTCGCAATGTGAATATTTTGCAAGTTACAGGCTGGAGGCAAGCATATCATGTGGCAGCAATCAAAAGAGATTGCAGTGGGAGACTCATTTGTTCATTCTGGTGCTGAGTGGTTGGGAATTCATCCATTTGTGATCGTCTTTATTCAAAGGCGGTTTTGTGTCAGGAGATCGGACGCTCTCACCTCCTCAATGGTGACAAGGTAGCTGATGTGCAAGCGATCATGGAACCCGACTCAGTTTTGTGTTGCAGTGTTTATTATCTATCGTTCCTGTGTTCCATGAGCCAATGAACCCTACTAAGGAAAAGTTGCGGGCCACTCTCAAGTACCACTCCCAAGGCCTTCATTTCGCACGTTTCGAACCATTTTACTGGTGTTCAGTGACAGGTTCATCCATGGCCTTTGGTAGGTGTTTTGAACGTCTCATGCCAAGATACAGATCTGGCTCAATCGGCTTGTTGGACGACAGTATCATTGTCATTGTGTCAGGAGCTGGGCTGGGCATGATGGCAGATAGTGAGGCACCAGCGGGTGAGGCACCAGCGGCGATTGAAGATCCCGAGCCAATTCCTGTAGAGTCAAGTGCTATGGATGTTCCCCCAGCTGACTTGCCAGAGTCAGAGGGGGAACAGGAGCAGGAGGAGAGTGAAGATTCGAAAGCAGTAGATTGACATGGATCAATCTATGTGCCTGCGTGACAGTGACCACCAGACAGCTAACTGCTTGCTGTGAAAAAAACCTGTTGCGGATCTGCCTGTGTGCGCACAGTTTTTTCTCTAAATGTAATGATTGGTTTGGTGTTTTGTTTGCAGTTTGTGGGGGGAAGGCCAAGGTCCATGAGGTTTCAGTTCTAAGTGTGTATGATGTTTTGACGTTCATATGTATGAAATGTTAGGTGTGTATGATATTTGCAAAACAGCGATGACGCTGAATAACATAAACCGCCCGTTTTGTTCATTTTAGCTGCTATATGATGGGTAGCTTGCGCCAACTGGTTTTAGACATCAACATGTTTAATTCGTGAGTCTGAGGTTTTGCTCCCCCGCCACAGGAAGCCCTGGACAAGTACCAACAAACCAACAAAAACAAACGCGAACACCGAGAAAAGCGGCAAGCCACAGAGCGCAACATTGGACCTGGGCAGGGTAAGACTCTTGTAATCATTGTGTAGGGTACTACTCTTGTGGGGCACTCACTAGGCACAGTGGTGAGGGTTCTTATACTGTAGGACACACTTCTTTGTGGGACACTCTTGCAAGACACTCTCATCAAAAAACTCTTGTGGGACACTCTCTTGTTAGACACACTCTTGACATCAGCGCTGGGCACTTTTTGTGGGGCCCTCTGTTAGTTTTCAACACTGACGCTGGCCAGCTTCTGGTCCTGGACAGCCTTACAAAATGCTCCATTGGGTAGATATATCCGAAGCATTTGGTTGCCCAAATGAACATGTTGGCAAAACACCGGATGTTTTTGAGACACCGGTTGCAACGATAATTCCTTCATTCCAGCACTCATCGTGGCAGAACACGGGCAAACCATCACACTAACTTCTCGATCAGCACCTCGGGCCACTTCACACAGCACACCCATTTCGCCTCCTGTCTCCCTTCACCCTCCTTCTGATCGGGACTCTTCGGTGGCCCTCCCTCCTGCCGAGGCTGAGGAACTTCGACAACTCCGTCTTCAATTTCAACAACAACAACAAGCTGCTCATCACCTTCAACAACAGGCTCTTCTCCACTCCCCGTTCAATCCGTTCTTTTCCCCATTCCAGTTTTACCTTCCACCACCCTCCTTACCCACAGCTTCACCTTCCAATCCACCTCCCGGCCCTCCACCAGCCTCTGTCCCTCCAACAGCACCAGAACCAGCGCCAGTTGCAACGGAACCTGCCGACCTTTCTATTTCCCTCTTCCCACCTCAAGCTTCCACCCAGCCTCCAGCTTCCACTCAGGCGGCATCGACCCATCGATCTCCTAATCGCTCACTTCGACCAGAGACTCCCCCACGATTGTCTCTCCAATGGTCTCGGCATAGACCTGACTTTACTTCCTTGGAGCATTCAGCTAAGCTGGTCTACCTCATGGACAACATCATGGAGGTCGCTATTGAGTTGGGTCCTCAGAAGCAAATTTGGACCACACCTGTTTGGCTTCACATTCGCCCGACCGGTCCTGTCGACCTTTGGTACGAGATCTTTGAACACAAATTTCAAGACTGGAGCACCCTCCTTTCCATGGTTAACAAGTTCCGCAACTACCTCATTGAGGGCCCCGATCGCCCTTTCAGCTGGGAAGAATGCGAAGCTCCTGAGATTTTGCCCCGCACACTTGTGGACACCACCATCCAAGAGGCTTACTACCAGCACCCCTTCGTCGCGTTCCTGCGACTTCTTGGGGTGACCACTTCGGGGATTTCATTACCGCCCTCGCCCACATTCCTCAGATCCTTGAGAAGACGCCGGTCTTTCTTTGGGGAAAACTCCCCTGCCACGATTCCCTGGTATTGCTCCTCAAGTTGGACTACACCAAGACCGAATACTTCCAGTGGACTCCACCTCAGACCACCTATACCTTTGTTCACAACTGTCCTGGCATTTCCCTTCGCGGCATCCTTACTGATGGGGTCATTCGACCCAGCTCTTGGAAGGTGACAGGGGATTCGGACTTCTTTCCCAGCCTGGGATTCGACTGTCGTTGCTGCTACCCAGGTCACAGCCACACCTCCGACAACCGGATCAATCCGGACATCACGCATCGGCTGACTCCAGAGCTCCAATGCGCTCTTCACGTGGCATGTGGATTTGGATGCCGCACCGCCTCCCGCAGATACTTCGTGGCTGGAGAGTGCTTCTCCCGCCAGTTTCAGCATTACGTGGTGCGCACAGGTGGACTTCCTTGTGATGCCATCGCCAGTCACTTCTACGATGTTGTGCGAAATCGGTCTGACCAGAGGTACAAGTGTCGCTCTTCTTCCAGTCAAATTCAATATGCTGGATTGTTCATCCGCACGGACGAGCTCCCCTCTTATGGCCTCCGACGTTCTGACATTCCTCTGTGACTTCTTCGTCCAAAAGTACCATATCCTCCTTGCAGCGCTGCGACAATATGTCGCTATTTTCTGCCAGTGGAGCTCTCTTCCCAGGAGAAAAGAACAGAACTTCCGCCTTTCACTTGATTTTGGACTCGATCTGATTTTCTTCTCTTTCCCGGACTTGCAACCTTGAATGACTGGTTTCTCCTTTCTCCTGTTTGGCTCAAGCTCATTTTGTTCCCCTGATCGTTTCCCCTCTATCTGGTCTCGCCAAACGATGGAGGCCTCTTTTTGGACTACAATGGAAACTCATCCCCAGCAGGCCCCACTGGGCATCATCAACATGCTGATCTCCCGACGTGCTTTGATGGATTCGATTTCTCGTTCCTTGGAGGTACTTTATGAAATGCCATACACCACCGACTTCCCTCCGGGACTACCTGCTGACTTGGAACAACTTCTCCGGGACCTGCACGCCTCCACAGAACGCTTGATGGACGAAGTCACTCAGACGAATAGACTACTACATCGTCTTGCCCTGTTCCCTCCTCATGCTCTACCGACTCAACCTTGGATACCCAATGATGCCGTACTACCACCTTTTCCTCCACCCTATGGTCCGGCCGCACCTTCATCCAGGACTTCGTCAACTTCCTAATTTTAACTCGGGCCATAAGCTGCCCTCTTCCTTGGACACGCTTAGCTTCAAAAAGTGCTTTTGCCCTTATGCTGATTTTTCTTTCCAGGGCATTACCTACTTTCTGTTCGATAACTTACCTTCAGTTCATTCATTCACTTTTCCTCCTTATCCTTCTCCCACTACTGCAGCCACTTGTTATTCAGATCGCCGCCCTTGTTTTTACTTCCTCCCGCTCCTATTGGCTGGTTCTACGGCTCCGCCACCTCGAGAAGCTGTATTCAACCCTTACCGTCTACCCGTCAGTCCACCACCTGGCAACGTCCGACCTCAACCACACCGGCAACCTGAGCTCCTATGGCTTCATTGGATGGTTTGCCTTGCGGCCTGGACGACTGAGGCACTTTGTGCCCACCCGATGATGTCTCAAGAGGTACCACCTGACGAACACTTTGAGACTATCTCTGCCCGGAACATCTACATTCAGACACGTCGTGCTGTCCATGAGTTCAACATTCAACAACGTCGGATTGCCCGTGGAGTTTCTCTTCTCCAGTATGTGGTACCTTCTCCGGAAGAAACCACCACCTTTGGTCTATATCGTGTTAACCCCAATGGCTTCATTCGCGCCTTGGGCACTCCCGAAGACAACTTTGCCCTTGGCACTGCCGCTGATGAAGCTCTTATGTCCCGACTACAGTCACATCGAAACTATGACTCCAATTCACCACCGGAATCACCTCCAACTCCTGCCACTCCGGCTACACCGCCCCCCACTACTACACCTACACCTGCCCGTTCTCGCTCTCGTACACCACCACCCAATCCTTTACTCCTACTACATGATACCTCCACATCCACCTCTACCCCATGGACCGCGGATCTACTCCCTCCACTTTCTCTTCGACGCTGGATCGCTCTCATCAACGTCCTCTTGATGGCAGAGGTCTTTTACACGGTCATCTTTGGCAAGCGACACGACACAGGACTCCTCCCCCAGCATCGACTCCGGCTACTTCCGATGAGGTTCCATCACCACCTCCCCCAGGACCTTCTTCGTAAACTTTATGCGGCTGTTTTTAGCATGACTTTTTGACTCAGGCGCGCTTGCTAGAAAACAGTGCTTTTTCGGTCGCACAGTCCTTCCCTCTTCTTTCTTACCCTTTCCTTTCCGTCCTTGTCTTCTTTTTCTCTCCTTTTCTCTCCCCACATGCTCTCCTTCATGTTGCACTAGCTATGACCCATGACCTCTACCGCCGCCACTTCTTCAGCTCTCAATTTTGCTCCTTGGTGTCATATACGTCTTCATCGCCGGTGTCTCTTGATCATGGCTCGCGGACGCTCCACTAGCAGCTCCCCTGATGCCCATCGACATCGAGGAAAACGTGAACGTCGCACCTCCCGTCGTTCCCGCTCTCCACGCAGGAAATCCTCGGGCCTTCCGGTTGAAACTCCTCCTTCGACTACGTCCTTTGAGACCCGATACCCGACTCCCAAGGCCTGGTCTTCTGATGACATCTACTTGGATCGGCAGCAGGAGTACAAACTGACTTTTCCTCGTCGAGTCATCCGTGATCTTCATATCGACCACCAACCCATTGAGGATGTACGTCTTATAGACGTACTCAGTCGCAAACAGGAGAACTGGACTTTACGGCTCGTCGCAAACGGCAGGTTGGTACAGTACGGGCCTACCTTTGGTCTTCCCTTTCTCGCAAGATCTTCAAGAGCTCTGATGTTGACATCGCCCGCATCATCGGTCACCTTCATCCTGCTTCCCTCAAGGACGACTGGGATGAGAAACGTAAAGGCTTGGATCGCCTTGCCGAACGCGTCTTCGACCACCTACGTGATCAGATGCCCAAGAACACTACCGAAGCCCTTCAGGACCAGGTGGAACAACTGATGAAGGAGAACGAGAAGCTCAAGGCTGCCACCTGCCGCCCTTCTTCACCTGCCCTCAGTCCACATCCGAACCTGAAACCCCTGCTGATCGTG